GACATCATCCATGTCATGAAAATTACATCATTTCCATATAACATACATTATGCATCTGCACCATATATCTATGGATATAAGAAAACATTAATAGAGCAATATTTCTACTCAGGGGAGACTAGTGATATGGAAAAGCCAGAGGCTCATGATCTTTTACGCTATCTCTTTTATTAAAATATTAAAGGAACTAATCCTTTTGGGAAACTTCCAAGCAAATAATCCAAATATTTGATCTGATAATCAAAGTTAATAGATTTATTACTAAGTGCTGTACATATTACCTTCTGGCTAGCATGATTTAAAGTACCCGACCTCTCCTATAAATCATTTATTTGTGGAGAAGTAACTTTGTTTTTTAGGAATTATTCCAGTTGTCTTAAACTGTTGGATATTCTTTCATTGGTTGGATATTCTATACTCCGATATCCCAACTGTCATAACAAACAAAGTAAACCAGAAAAGTACTAACTGGTGTTTTAGTTCCCATATTTACTTGGGAACACAAAGGAGACAAATATTGTCAAATAATTATCTTATATTCTACAAAAAAGCTCTTTGAAGATGCCAATATTTTAATTGGCTTTTTTGTTTAACTTTTTGTAGAAAGTTGGAAGAAGCTATTTCACCCATCAACTCTAACCCCCATTCAATGCAGGAATTCAAAATAAGGCTTCTAGCATCTGTTTAATCACGTTCTAGGAAAGGGAGCTTATGTCTCCTATCTCATGTCTATATATTTGAACTGTACTCTTTTCCCACTGTTAAGTTAGGTGATCTACCCATCCCTGCCTTAGCCCAAAATTTATATGTAATTTGCTGCCTAATTACCAATACTTACCTTGCCTGCCTCTTGTAACAAACTTTCAAGATCATACAGGGATCAAAACTTTATATTCTTGGAGGATGTATTTTTTTTAAAAAAATGCACCAGAAAACAAGCTCTTTATGTACAGTATATCTTGACACAATGAAAACTGTTTCTTGGCAGTTTAGATGGTATATAGAAGGACAAAATGGAGAATCCACATTATGATATTAAATCAATATACATCAACTGCTAATTCTACATTATAAATGCTCTATGAAAATGTTTGATTTTTAGCATTATCCTAAATCCAATTATGGAGGAGGCTAGTCCAATTTCCAATGGATGATTGTTTCCAAAGGTCAGCAATACTAATGTGAAGAGCCTCATCTAGCTTTATCTTCCTTCCTGAAAGTGAGGAATATCAGCTGTTTCTATCCTGGGGACCTTCTAGGTCAAGCCAATTCAATTTGGTGTAAGCGGTTCTGGAGGTATTGTCAATAGGAACCAAAACATAAAGGGCTTTATGGGTCAAAAGCCGCCCTTGGAAACCCTCTAGAAACTACAAATAACTTCACCAATTTACAATAAAGGCAGTTTAGGAAAAAAATAAAGACATACGCTCATGCATATGAAGGATATTTTGATTTTTTTAAAGCGGGGATTAGTTTGGTTGCCAGAATTGCTGCAATTTCATGCTTCACACAAATACACACACCCGTCAATCTCATTAAAGAGATTCTCGAGAGCCCATTTGGTGCAGGGGGTTAAGATGTTGGAAAAGAAGCCAGAAGACTCTGAGGTCTAAGCTTGCTTTAGTTTTAGAAGTCAGTTGGGTGACTTGGGGGCAGTTATTCTCCTTCAGCTTTGAAAAGAATGCAAAAGCAACCACTTCTGAAATTGTGGTCAAGAAAACTGTGGATTTGTTTATGCAATCGCCAAGAGTCAAGTTCCGAATACAACAATGAGAGGGAGAGAGAGAGAAGGAGGGAGGGAGGGAGAGGGAGGGAGGGAGAGAGAGAGGGAGAGGGAGAGGGAGAGGGAGAGAGAGAGAGAGAGAGAGAGAGAGAGAGAGAGAGAGAGAGAGAGAGAGAGAGAGAGCTTTTAGATGCTTATTCGTGGAAAAGAAATGCCTTCCATCCGGCAAATTCCAAAGAGCCTAATGTTACATTGTTATAGCTAAAAATGAGTTAAACTTGTCCTATTCATAAGCTGGGAACACAAATAAGAGAAACTCATAGGAACACTAAGAAACAGTGGCTTCCACTGGGAAGGGAAAATCAATCTGCAAGAAGGGCATCATACATCTGGCCATGTTATTTTTGGAGATGTGTTGATCTTGCACAGATGGACAAACCAGATTCCAGCACTTGCCCTGCAGAGGTTCCTGTTCAGTAAAATAGGTGTTGCGTGTGTGCTGTGGTTGAATGCAAATGGGAATGAAGCTATTATCAGATTTGGATTTATAACTACAAAATTTAGGGTTTGGTTTCAAGTGTCCTAGCTCTGAAATAGACGGCATTTTGCAAGAGTATGGATGACACTTTCATCATTCGCAGTCCAGTCCAGAAAGGTTTTTACTTTGATCCTATGCATAATAAACATCTCCAGCCAAAGATGTTTTGGGTTGTACCTTGTAAGGTTTTTTTTTGAGATTCCAGCCAACTGAAACGAATGAATATAAATACTGGTGTTATGCGGAATATCACGCTCCTCCAGAGATCAGATTGTCTCTGACAATTATTGATCTTCCAAAAGCTCTTGAGAATTTAGTTCTGTACTTGAACCTGAGTCCTTGAGTGTGTGGTGGAACCTGTTTCCTGGTTGTATTGATTATATATTTCTAAACTTTTTCCTCTTGGCTGTTATGGGTATTTATGTGATTATTTTTGTATTTTTAATGACATTAGATATGTAGAATCATGAGGTGGGCAGGCCATATAAATCCCGTGAATAAGTGTATTCTAATGGAGTTACACGCTTCTACTGACTTATTTTATATTTGAAATGCTTTGTTGAGTTCTGCTCAGGGGTGGGCCTCAAAAATTTTACAAGGGATTCTCTGCCCAGTTGGTGGGTGGGCGTGGCCTAGTCAGCCTCCTGCACCATGGCGACAGGGGGGTTGCCTTCGCCGGGCTCCAGAGGCTTTCCTTGAGCCTCCAGGAGGGCGAAAATGGCCTCCTCAGGCTCCAGAGGCTCTCTGGAAGCTAGAAACAGGCCCGTTTCTGGCTTTCCCAAACTTTTGGAAGGCCCGTTTTTCACCCTCCCCGAGCCTCTGTGCGTGCCCTGCACTTACCCGCATCCAAAATGCGTCATGTGGGGAGTCCTGGGAGGGGCAGGTGGGCCCAGCCAGGAGTGGGATTTGGGGGTTCTTTGAACTGTTCAGAATCTTAGTTAGGGGTTCTTCCAAACCCCTGAACCCCAGCAGCCCACCTCTGGTTCTGCTGCAGTAGGAAGAATGGCCTTAAGAAGGAGATATTCTCTCTTCCTTTACCATTTCCCTTTTAAGAGAGGGTGCAATAACCAGGAAAACCAATTTTTACTGGAGGCTTCGACTTAGTGAAAGTACCTTTATTTCAGCCCAGATTTTAACATATTCAACATTACACAAGTTCAACTTTAACATTCATTGAAAGAGGTTATCTACTTCTTAGATTCCAAGCCTGAATGAGCATTGTTTGTGATACAAAAAAATAAATACCCTCTTCAAAAAAATTTGTTTAAAAAGAAACTAATCATTAGATAATTATATCAAATCATTTAAAACAGTTGGAAGTCCAAGTAAGTAAACAAGCTTTTCCCCGAGAATAAGTTTAAAAGGACCAGCCTTTCTTCAATGGAGAAGGGTATAGATTTTCTTTTAATTACAAAAATTGATTACTCATTTTTCATTAGAGTCTGTTCTTTTCAACACAAGTTTCAAGAGGGAACAATAATGAAAGTGCAGTTAACATGAGAAGAGGAGGAAAAAAGGAGTGTAGTACTTTTTAAAAAGTTATGGTGGACAAAGGATACAATAAGCCTGATTCAGCACTAAACTGAATACTTACAAAACATTAGGGTGATAGGTTATTTATTCTTAAGAAAAAAAAACATCTATACAGCTGCTCACCTATCAACCGATTCTGGGTGGCTCCCAACCAAAAATTCAAAGTCCTATAAATCATATTAAAACTATTTTAAAAAACCCATTAAAACATTAAAAATAAAAATCTTCTGTCTACAGTACTTCTATAGTACTGTAGAGCACAAAGCAGGTGAATTCCTCAGCCAATTATTTGTTAGATCCACTGGTAGGAACAACCAATTAACCATTTTTCTGAGGAATTCTACAAAAGAGAACATTTTTTTTTTGTTATCTTATACCTAACGAAATGTTCACTGTCCCATTGCAACTCAACCTAACAAGGGCTGCAAGCACTATCCATGCTTTACACCACAGATGTCAAACGTGTGGTGTCACGTTGCCATCACATGACATTTCGTGATGTTTTTCCCCATTTGCGAAGCTGGGGTGGGCGTGGCTTGTGTGTGACTCATCTGGTCCGCGGGTCGCCAGTTTGATACCCCTGAATTCCAAGGAGCTCTAAAGCTTCTCATAAAATGATTTCAGAGAATGCAGGTTGTTGTACAAAGCCAGAATGATGGTTAAGTGACAATCAGATTATCAATTCAGTCAAGAACTCAGCTGAAATGTCATTTGATATGCTGATTTTTATGTTGCAGGCATGGCATTAAAATCCCGAATCTCGGCCAGTATTCAAGATAAGCAAAAGTGCAATATTTGTTATTTAGATAATTGAATGTTGTTCCCTTTGGTCAGAAGGACAAGACTGCTTAAAGGAAAGATTTAGCATTGATAGAATAGAATAGAACAGAACAGAACATAATATAGAAACGAAACAAAATGAACAAGAACAAGAATAGAATAGAATAGAATAGAATAGAATAGAATAGAATAGAATAGAATAGAACAGAACAGAACAGAACAGAACAGAACAGAACAGAACAGAATAGAATAGAATAGAATAGAATAGAATAGAATTTTGATTGGCCAAGTGTGATTGGACACACATGGAATTTGTTTTGGTGCAAATGCTCTCAGAGCACATAAGAGAAAAGATACATTCGTGAAGAGTCAAGATTCATAAGGTACAACACTTAATAATAGTCATAGGGTATAGTAAGAAATCAAATCATACTGCTTCTGGTTTGAAGTCTCTTCGGCGGCAGACAGAAATCTGCGATCATGCTTGGTTTCGGTCTGGGCTCACCACTGGAGCGCCCCAAGCCGGCTGGTTTCGGGGCTAAGCTACCCTGTAGAGGTGGTGAAGAGGGGGGAGACCACCAGCAGGGTTGAGGAGAGCCGCATCTCTCCTCCTCAGCTGGCCATTACTCCCTTTCCCAAAGGCGGTTGCAGCGGTGGTCAGAAATGGCCACCACAAAGAAGAACTCGACTGGAAAAGAATGTGCAGGAGGAAGATAAGAAGTGAAAGTTTTGGCTGACCAGGTTACATTGTGAAAGCAACAACTAAGGTACCCTGGAATTTAAACTTACAAAAAAATAACATCGCTCCCAAAGAAGAGTCGGAAGCAGCGAAGGAAAGTGAAAAGGGAAAGGTTTGGCTTTTTTTTCCTTCTCTCTCCTTCCCTATACTGACAACTAAGAGACTTAAATAAGAAATAGGAAAAATCTGCTTTGACATCAATAGGCAATTAAACTGAAAATATAATAAAATGCCAAAGGGATAATAAAGATTTCTGGACACTAAATTTTTTTTCATAAGGAGGAAGGGAGAGAAAAAAATAAGGGCAGGATCTGGAAGAGGGAGGAGACTGCCTGGAATTAAAAAGAATCTACAGTAAAACTTCAACAAGACTTCTAAAAGATACATTTTAACTGAAACTTTGTAACTAAACAGTAACCCCAAGAAGAGAAAGTGGAAAAAAAAGAGCAAAAAGAAACAGCTTGCATGTATTTGTATTATTTGGTGATCTTTGGATTCTTGGTTATTACATTTGAATGACTAAAATCAATCGGGTGGTTGTTTAAAAATTTATATAATGGCACCACTTCTGGATGAATTGAGAATGGAACTTAAAAAGTACAAAAAAAATGCACAAAAAGGGAAGGGTTCTTTTGGCTTCGTTTTTCAATTCTTAGAAATGGAGATTTGGAACCATGAGAAACAACAAGAAACGTCTGCAAAACAAGAAGACTGGGACAAAGAAGAAGCCATCTTTAATGAACAAGTAATTTTATGTGGGGAAGAAAAAGGAACGGGGGGGGAAAGAGAATGGAGAATTTAAGACTTAAAAAAACAACCAAAGAAAAGAAAAATAATTCAAAAAATAAGTATAATACTGGAAAGCAACAGAAAAGGGGAATACAGAAGAGAGAAATAGAGGTAGAGAGACAAGGGGGTAAAAAGGGGAGAGAGAAGAAGAGAGGGAAGAAGGAAAGGAAAAGAAGTTACAAAGAACTGGAGCAAGATATAGAGAAACAGGACCTATTTAGAGATAATGGGTGAAAATCTAACTGAAAAAGGGATTCTGTAAAGGTACATAAGATTGTATTGTTATATTAATAATAGAAATAACTTTAGAAAATTGGAAACAATGTATGATTAAAATGAGGGATAAAATAGTTAGTGTAATTTAGTGAAATGTTTGTTAATAAAATAAGTGAAATAAAATAAATGAGAAAATTGAATTAGGAAGGAACAGGAACATTTTAATTAGTTAATGTTTTATAAAATATAAGTGAAGGGGGGGATTAATTATGGAAAGCTTATAATTGTTCCCATAGAAGTATGATATTTAATTGAAAAGTAATGTTAAAGAAGTTAAGACTTTAATGAATATTAATATTAATGATAGAATTTAATTGGAATAAAATGTGTTGTTTTAATTACATACATTTATAATTTTTTTCTTTTTTTAAGAATATAGTGTGTATTTTAAGAATGTACCAAGCAGAATCCGAATGGAAGTTATGTATTATATTGAATGTTATAACTTTAGGGTATATATTGAAATCTAAATAAGAGTTAAATGGATAAACTTAAAAGACTTAAAAAAACTTAAACTTAAAAGGCGTCATACTCCAATCAGTAACTACAGGATAAATTTTGTTTAATGAGAAAAGATAATAGATAATTGAAACAGGACAGACAAAAAATACAAATTTGAATTGAGATGAGATAATTAAAATAAAATTGAGAAAATTAAAAGAGGGGAGAAGCTATGCAGAAAATGTAAAATAGTAATAAGATATGGAATAGAATATAAAAATGAGCATGAACTTGAATTTGTGTCTGTACGAAGAAATGTAACCCGGGATTATGCTAATTTCAAAAAAGATGTTTTATTTGTATTTTTTTTCTTTTTGTGAAAACTCAAATAAAATTTACAAAAAAAAAAAAGAAATCAAATCATACTAGGAAGCAGTCAATATAGATTGTAAGGATACAAGCAACAAAGTTAGAGTCATACAGTCACAAGTGGGAGGGGATGGGCGATAAGGAGTGATGAGACGATTAATAGTAATAGTAGTGCAGACTTTGTAAATGGTTGGACAGCGTTGAGGGAATTATTTGTTTAGCAGAGTGATGGCTTTCAGGGGGAAACTGTTCTCATGTCTAGTTGTTCTGGTGTGCAGTGCCCTATAGCAGGGGTCCCCAACCACCGGTCCGCGGACCGGTACTGGTCCATGGAACAAGTCCTACCGGGCCACTGGTTTGCTGGGCGCCGCCATCTTTTTTTGATGAAAAAGTGCTTCCGGTGACCTTTCATCAAAAAAAGATGGCGGCGCCCAGCTAATGCCGGTACCGGGCCGCGCCATAAAAAAGGTTGGGGATACCGGGCCGCGGCATAAGAAAGGTTGGGGATCACTGCCCTATAGCATCATTTTGAGGGAAGGAGTTGAAACAGTTTATGTCCAGGATGTGAGGGGTCTGTAAATATTTTCACAGCCCTCTTTTTGACTTGTGCAGTGTACAGATCCTCGATTGAAGGCAGGTGGGTAGTAATTGTTTTTTCTGCAGTCCTAATTATCCTCTGAAGTCTGTGTCTGTCCTGTTGGGTTGCAGAACCAAACTAGACAGTTATAGAGGTGCAGATGACAGACTCAATTCCTAATAATCTATCATTTCTCTATATGGTTCTTCAAAGCATAAAGCAGCAAGGATTATGACCACATGGTGTCTCCAAATCCATATCTTCCAATGGGACCAGTGTTTCTCAACTTGGCAGCTTGAGGATGAATGGACTTTAGCTCCCAGAAATCCCCAGCTAGCCTTAGACCATCAATAAAGTGAACATAGCAGCTGATCTTAATAAGAGCAGGCATCCTCTTCCACTCCCATGTGATAACATGGGAGTTCCCTTGAGGCATATTGTATCAATGTTGTTTCCAGCTAACTGGTATTTCAGGCAATTGAGGTTTTGATTTTGTACCCCCATCCTTCAATTGTGCAACAAACCTGGATTTTGTAACACCTTGAGCATTTCTATTTTGACTTTGGGTAGCTCTGGATATTCACTTGAGTAATCATCCATATGTGTTTTATGTACCCATTCCTGACCCTTTGAAAGAGTTTTCTTCTTGTACTTGCAGGAGCTCAAACACATTCTTGTAAGTATACTTTAGGGCAGGCCATAAATTTAAAACAAACAGGTAAGAATAGCATTACCTTTCTGCTTCTTTCTATTGTATTTTATTCTATTAAAGTTCCATGAAGATATGAGAGGAAATGCGAAGGAAAATGAAAGTTTGAGTATTAGAAAAGTTTGCAAGTTTAAATAGAATAAGGATGAAATGAAATTCTAGCTGGGAAATATGAGTAAACTTAATAATAATTAATCTGACTTTATACTGAGATGGTGGCACGAGCTACTAATAGCTGCCATGGACTCTGTTCTGATATTGAAGCCACAATATATATTGAAACAATGCAAATCATAGATGCTGGAGATTCATTAATGGAGACATGATTCCGATAATAATTATCATTGTCAAAGACAGTTCAAATGGAGCAGTTTTATTATACTGCCAGAAGGATTTTTAAAAACAATTTTACAAGGTTTACACCAGGAAAACTCTATCATAAGAAATACCACTCTAGTTTATAGAGTAAGAAAAAGTTATTAAACTTGAGAGATGGCTTATTAGTAGTAGATATTATTTCTATAGTAGTAATAAGAACTATTTTGTCTTTCATAAAGCTGCAGTTTAGCTGGAGGTGAGGAGACACTTTAATAAATAGCAGTTTCATAAATATATTTTGGTTAATTCATTCCAGTTTCAGTCAAAGCCTTAAGGTAGAAGTGGACTAGTTCAATTCCTATAACACTTAGATGTTATAATAGAAATTTGAAAAGCAAGAAACTTTCCACTGTAGGTAAGCCAAATTGTTTTTGTTATGAAGATTGCTGTATAATAGACTGAGATATGCAAATGTTCCAATTGCTTGTCTGCTTTTTATATGAATAATATAGGCTGAAACTGGAAAATGACTGCAGAAACAAACATACAAGATTCTCTGGTGCCACAATTTAGTATGAGGGATTATACCTAATGTTATCTCTATACTTCTCCAGCACTATGGTGGTGGAGACTGCAAGGTGATCAAACCGGTCACTCTTAGAGGAGATCAACCCTGACTGGTCTTTAGAAGGCCAGATCCTGAAGATGAAACACAAATACTTTGGCCACCTAATAAGAAGGAAGGACTCCCTGGAGAAGAGCCTCATGCTGGGAACGATTGAGGGTAATAGAAGAAGCAGACAACAGAGAATGAAGGTGGCTGGATGGAGTCACTGAAGCAGTCGGCGTGAGCTTAAATGGACTCCAGAGGATGACAGAGGACAGGAAGGCCTGCAGGAACATTGTCCATGGGGTCACGATGGGTCAGACATGACTCAACATGACGCAACTAACAACAACAATCTCTATACAGGCATTGTGAGCAAACAGTTGTGTGAGTAAGGGCATGGTATGTCTATCCTCTTGATATTTACTATTAAAAATATTCATAAACTGATTGTACAGACAGACCATTGGATTAATATGCATACTTTCACCATCTGTACAAGAACAAAATTTAAACACCATGGATGGAATTTGTTCAGGCAATAGTTGTATCTTTAGTAAAGACATGGCCAGCTAGCTGCTTTCAGTTCCGAGAATGCCCTCAGAAACATCTAATATGTGAAAATAGGATTTCATTTCAGATGAAGAAAAAAAAAAGATTTCATTTCTATTTATAAAAGCCAAGAAAAGGGAAAGATTCAAAGCCCGTGCTTAATATGGTTATAAAATAAGTGCTCTCTAAACAGTACTGAAAATAGTCTTTTAGGATATTATAGAGATCAATAATCTTTACAGAACTTCTACTATAACTATATGACCAGTTTTAAATGGCTGCTGTGGGGATAGAGAGAGTTGCCAAATATGCTGCTCAGTGGTGGTATTCAAATTTTTTACTAGCAGATCTGTGGACGTGGCTTGATGGGCGTGGTGTGGCTTGGTGGGCGTGGCTTGGTGGGCGTGGCAGGGGAAGGATACTGCAAAATCCCCATTTCCACCCCACTCTTGGGGAAGGATACTGTAAAATCCCAATTCCCTCCCCACACCCTAACCTGCTTTCCAGCTCCATTCTCCTGTTGCAGGGCAGCAAAAGAAGACCTAGTTGATCAGCTGGGACTCCAACCAGCAGGGACTCGGGAGGCAATGAAAAGATGCGGGCAGGGCCAACCACAGGTGGTATTTACTGGCTCCCCAACTATTCAAAATTTCTGCTACCGGTTCTCCAGAACCTGTCAGAACTGGCTGACTACCACCTCTGATGCTGCTCCAATTGTTTCATAGAAAACTGTGAGGTTGAAAGCCAGTAACATCCGTTGCCATAGTTAGATACAGGAGTAGAAGCTCAGTCTAAGACACAGATCCCAAACTACAGATATGTCATAACACAATGACACACAAAAAGCTCTCTCTCTCTCTCTCTCTCTCTCTCTCTCTCTCTCTCTCTCTCTCTCACACACACACACACACACACACACATTCTGTAAGTTGTGTGAGCTTACACACGGGGACACAATTCTGATGAATGCATGTGCACACTTGATTCAAGAGTGCTCTCTTCCTTGTTGGTATCTTCACAATACCACACACAACACCACACACACAATCCTTGCTACTTTTATCTTATGTATATCTCCTAGCAAGAAGGAGAATAAAAAAAAATAAGGAACGGTCAGAAGCAACAGGAAAAAAGAAGAGTGGTAAAAGGAATAGCAAAAAAGAAGAGTCATGAAGTAGAGGAGGAAATATAAAAATATATACACTACCTCTAATGCAGTGTTTCTCAATATAACTTTACCATGCATGAACTTCACCTCTCAGAATTCTCCAGCCACCAAATTGTTAAACTTGAGAAACCCTGCTCTAACACTCTCCTTTTCAACATGGCCACTCATTTCTCTTTGGCCCTCCACTATTTGAAATGTTCTCCTTCCTTTTGAAACAAATTGCAATTGTTCCATCACCTCCTACCATTTTCTCCAGCAGGAGCATCTATCCCAGTTGAGATCCAATCAAAATTAACTTGGGACTTGGAAAGTGGTGGTATTCAATTTTTTTTACTACCAGTTCTGTGGGCATGGCTTGATGGGCATGGTGTCACTTGGTGGGTGTGGTGTGGCTTGGTAGGCATGGCAGGGGAAGGATACTGTAAAATCCCCATTCCCTCCCCTCCTCACTAACCTGCTTTCCAGCTCCATTCTCCTGTGCAGGGCAACAAAAGAAGACCCAGCTGGGACTCGGGAGGCAGCAAATAAATGGGGGCGGGGCCAACTAGAAGTGGTATTTGCCGGTTCTCCGAACTGCTCAAAATTTCCACTACCGGTTCTCCAGAACCTGTCAGAACTGGCTGAATACCACCTCTGGACTTAGAAAAAGAGAGCCCTCAAGAAATAATTTGGAGCAAAATTGCTGGGATGCTAGCTCTCCCTCAAGAAACAAAAGACTTTGTAAACCAGCAAGGTGGGAGCATATAGATTTGCAGCAGTGGTGGGATTCAAATTTTTTTACTACCGGTTCTGTGGGCGTGGCTTGGTGGGCGTGGCAGAGGAAGGGGTCAAGCTATTTTCTAAAGCATCTGAAGGCCAGACAAGGAATAATGGATGGAAACTGAACAAGGAGAGATTCAAGGAGAAATAAGGAAAAACTTTCTGACAGTAAGAACAATCAACCAATGGAACAGCTTGCCCTCGGAAGTTGTGGGAACATCATTACTTGAGACTTTCAAGAAGAGATTGGACTGCCATTTGTCAGAAATGGTGTAGGGTCTCCTGCTTGGATGGGGGGTTGGACTAGATGACCTACAAAGTCCCTTCCAACTCTGATTATCTGTTATCTCTGTGGGGAGCAGGCCCAAGACTCAGTGGGATCGAATGGGGGACAGAGGCAATGCAGCAAATGGCCACAAGGTTACAGCAGCCATTGTAACTTTGAAACAAAGTCATATGTAACTTTGGGGTATGTGTTTGAGCATTTATTAAAAAGCTGCCTTTATTTCACATCTAAATTGCACCAAATAATTTGTTCCCTGTAAAACATATACAGTATTTCTATGCAGTGATCATTTCTTCTAAAGGCATATGCTTATGTTTTTCATTGTACTTGTTCTTTTTCCTACAAACTTTTTAATATCGTCTAAACATGCATTTTTTAAAAAAAAAATCAAATTGATGTTCAGTTTCATTTGCAATCTGTGTTCTGCAACATAAAAAGGACTGAAAAAGTCTAAATACTTTTAAATTATTTTTATGTGAATGTTTACAGGTTTGGGCATTTATTAGTTAATTGAATAGCTATGTCAAAATAGAAGAAGCAGGAAAGCAGAAAATTAAATGTCTGCTAGTTAGCTTACTAAAACTTCAGTTCTTCAGACTTTATTGCAGAAAACATGGCAGAAATTTCAACACAGCATTATGATCCGGGGATTTCTTTATAGTGTTTCTCTGCCCAACAACTGAAAGATGAAATTACTTCAATAAAACTGCAGGAGGAGATGCCAATATAATATCTTTTAAGTCCATGTCCCAAGAGGGGCTTGAAGGTAAATACATTTGGAGGACACCAGGATGTCTTCTTCTGCTTTATCATAATATATCCTGCTTTAACTGATCAGCAGCCACACATTACGCTTCCTTTAGTATTATGCTCCAGCTAGGCAGCCTAATTTGCACTTGCTGCAGTATTAGTACAAGTGTGGGCACACAGCTGCAGATTGAACAAAAGAGATTTCTCTGTCAGTGTTGATCTGGACAAGCAGTGTATTCTGATAACCTGTAGATATTGACCTGTAGATACTTACAGGAAGCAAAGGAATATGTCAGTATCATGATTGGACAGCTCATCACCTTACCTGATTTATCACATATTTGAGATCTGTTCTACTGAGACCCGGTCTAAAGGGGTTCTCCAGTGTATTCAAACATGCCCAGAAATGCTACAGCCACACTTGCATGGCATAGTAACAAGGCATTCTTGGCAGAGGTGGTGTTCAGCAGGTTCTGACCAGTTCTGGAGAACTGGTAGTGGAAATGTTGAGTAGTTTGGAGAACCGGCAAATACTACCTTTGACTGGCCCCGCCCCCATCTATTCTCTGCCTCCCGAGTCCCACCTGATTGGCTGGGTTTTCTTTTGTTGCCCTGCACAGGAGAACAGATCTGGAAAGCAGGTTAGTGGGGTGGGGAGGGAATGGAGATTTTACAGTATCCTTTCCTTGCCACACCCACCAAGCTACGCCCACAGAACTGGTAGTAAAAAAAAATTTGAATCCCACCACTGAACTTTGGAGACAGAGGGGCAGACATCATGTTCTCGGGGAAAGGAGATGAGAAAAATTAGAATTCAAAACATAGCTGAAAAGTCACCTTACGTTATAGAGAAAAAAAGAGGTTTTGTCAAGAGAAAAGGGTGGCATGATAAGCAGTGGGGATCTGAGGCTGAGATGAGGAGAAATGCAATTTAAGGGATGAGAGCTGTGGTTGGAAAAATCAAGCAGATTAGTTGGTCAAAGAGATGTAAATTGAATTAAGCAGTTTAATTTTTGCAAGATGATTAAGGATAGGATTGTGATTATAGTATTCATGACTCTGCTGGAAAAACGCAGTGCTTTCTCAAAAAACATCTACCAATGCTTAGGAAGTAGTTGTTTTACAAAGTTTAAAATAACTTCTTAACCAAAGCTGATGGACTAATAAACACCATGACCTCAGTTTATTAATTACAACTTTTAAAATAGCTGGATTACTCATGTGACTGACTCAAGATGCTGGCACTCTAAACTGGATTATAGAGGCCAGCATCATGTTGTTAAATTTCAACTGTTACGTAGCTCCGTGATATTCATTATATAGTACATGATTAACATCTGTATGACAAATTAAATCATATAAAACCATTGTGAAGAAGAGAATGGCCAAACCTTAGCAGTTAGAGGAATGATTGGCAGCAAACAGAATTAAGAAAATGAGAATATTATAAGACTAGTATTTATGCAATAGTGCAGTTCCAAGTTGAACTTGAGAAGTACGACGAAACCTTTTTTTAGAAACATTGATATGTATAGATCCTGCAGACTGAAACAGAAGAAAATCTGCAAAGTTACTCTTTAAGCAAAGTTGGCATGTTATGATGAACTTTTGTCATCTGAAATAGATAACACAACATCAACATGGTCAAAAGAAGAAAAGTATAATTGTTCCCTTTGTTTTCTTATAAAAACTATAGTTATTAAGCAGTGCTTTACTGCATTTTCAGATTTAAAAAACCTTGCACTTCTTAATTCTGTGTTACTCCAGGTACAGTATTTCAAATAACAGAATTTTAAAACTAGAAAGAGTCATTTAGCACATCGGTCATCCCTTTTCTGCTAGAATACAGATTAAGGAATCCCTGCCAGATGATTATTTCATCCTTGCTTAAACGCAACAAGTGAAGTAGTCTTCCCTCAGTAACTGGTTCCTTTAGCTTTTAAAGCTAGGAATTTTTGTTCTAGTATTGAAATAACTTTTGGCTTCCTTAAATCCATTATTCCTTATGCTGAACTCTGAATGATAGAGTTACTGACTGCCTTCTGTGTAACAAACATTTCTAGTATATGAAGAGTGCTATTATTCAGAATTTTCTAAGGCTAAATATTCTGTTTCTTCCACCTTTTTTCCCCCATAAGAACCTTTGAATAACTTAATTACCTTATGTTCAACCTGTTCCAGTTTATCTAGATCCAGAATTAAACACAATATTTGAGATGTGGTAAAAGGTGAAAGATTTATACGATATGAAGAAAAAACAGAGTATACTTGAGATGTGGTATGATCAATGCAAAATAAAATAGAACTAGTCCTCCAAAACCAATGTTTATGTTATTATAAGATGGAATTCACTTGTTGTACAATCACATCACATTGCTGACTTACATTCAGTGCTCAGCTACTATTCCAAAAATGTTTTTACTAATTCTATTTCCAAACCAGGTTTGCTTTATCCTAGCTATCCATTTAATCTGTTTGCAAGTATAGAACTTTACATCCATCTACTTGCATATTTAATATACCTCAAGCTTATTCAAGTTTGTTGAGAAAAAATTTATGACCAGTCAAGTATAATTTTCAAACCAGTACAGTATCCACTTAATTACCATCCATCTAGTCCAGTGATGGCTAACCTATGACACGCGTGTCACTCGTGACACGCCGAGGCACTTTGACTGACACGCCTGTTGGTGTGGGGAAAACCTGCACATTTAGAGGCTGCCTGTGCTCTGCTCCAATCCCTGCTCCCTGCTTGTTGCGTGGAGGTGTGGTGTCACCGCTGCCGCAAGATCTTTGCAGCAGAGAACCAGTTTTAACCGCCATAAACTGAGGTTTGTCAGTTTCATTACCTCAGGAACGCTACAGGAGGAAAGGAGATCCATGAGGTTCACAGCCCTGTAAGGTGGCCTTCCGATCCCCACATCCTGCACCTGCAGCCCTGAGACCAGGGAGACGAGTTTCACAGCCCTGTGTGATCACCCCAGCACAGTCCGTCATAAACCAAATTATTGATATTTCTTGAAGTGACACACGACCCGAGGAAGGCTACACTTTTTCCCGATTTTCGACACACCAAGCTGAAAAGGTTAGCCATCACTGATCTAGTCAATACTTCGTTAGTTGTTTATCAGAATATCCTGAAATATTTTGAAAAATGATTTGTTTAAAGATATAGTAAGTTTCCAGAATCCCCACAATCTTTTAAGCTGTTGTAGAATCTTTTTAGGTATCAGTGTCAGACTGATCTGCAGTTGTCTAAAGATGTCTATGGAGATTCTTAGTCATCCAGGTCATAATTATCCCAAAGGGTCTTTTCAAGAGGCAAGTTGGACTTTCTATTTTTTTTTTTTAAAGATATTTCATTTCTCATCCAAGAAGTTTCTTCAGCTCTGACTGAATGGTGGGGAATGGAAGGATTTATACACCTTGCAGACAGCTGATCATTTGCATCCTTTTAGACAGTCGCTGAGGCCATCTGGAGGTTTATCTGTGTCATCAGGGTCACCTGAGTAGTACAAATGAGAGTGGAGACTTCTTGGAACTATTGAAAGGATTGTGTTGTGGACTGTAGATAGATGATGTCATATCCCCCACCCACCCCTCTGTTAAGGGAGGGCTGTTCAGTTTTGACATAGATGACCTATTTGACCCCTCTTTCAAATCAGCAGTCCTCTCTGTCCAAAATGTTGTCTAAAGATGTTCGTCCTCACCTTTTGGAAAATAGGGAAAATATTTATCTGCCTCAAATTTATACACTTTATCGCTTCCTAAAGATTTTGAAAAAAGTAATACAAAAGGTTTCCCACCCGGACCCTCATCAAATTCCTTCTGTATGATTAATGTATATTTCATGGAATTTATTTTATTGGTTTGGTCATTGCATTTATCTTTTACTGCAGTTAGAACCAAGTCCTCTGATACAATGTGGGTGTTAATAAAGTATAGATAAGCAGAGCTAAGGAAGATTCAGGAAAGACCTGTATCTATCAAAAATTGTTACTAAACTCTGATGTCCCAACAAACAGCAAAAAGGCCAGGAGAGTTCCAGAAGTGTCTTAACAAAGATGGGGAGAGGAAGAACATGAATTCTAAGAGCAGGAGAAAATCATTTATCTATGTCAAAATATAGTCCCCTTTTAGTAGCTTTCAAAACCCTCTGCATGTAACTGCAAGTCACTTATTTTCAACAACACAATTTTTCACATTCAAAAAAACAATGACTTTAAAAACAATTCAAACTACAGAAAATATTTGAAAGGGCCAACTTTCAACCCCGTTGCTCTGAGAATGCCACCCACTCTTCCCTGTGATCTTGAGAAGAAAAAATGCATGAAGGAAGGCTCCAGCTCACAAAGGCATTTTCATCCTTTGATCTACTTAGGAGCGACAGCTTTGATTTGATTTTGTTTTCAAAAAATGTAGGGCAGTTGTGTCCATAAGAAAGTCCAAATGGACAAGATGATTGCTATGGTGTTGCAATTGAAGCCTCTCCCCTTTTTATACAAATATTAGGTCACTGCATGTACAAAACAGGATGTCCTTGTATGTTTTCCCCACAAATAGCAATGGGCTACTTAGGTGGAACATATTCCTGCTATGCTCAAAATAGTTGTGTGAAATATTATCAGATCATCCATTGAACTTTGGTTCTAAGCTTTCCTCTCGGGCAGTGTTTCTCAATCTTGCCAATTTGAAGATGTGTGAACCAACTTAATTCTTGGAGTTGAAGTCCATACACCTTCAAGTTTCCAAGGTTGAGAAATTCTTTACTAGTTTTCCTCAAAAATATCCCTGCTAGATATGTGGAATCCTGGTTTCCAAGATGGTGAACTGGCTCACGGAATGCAAGATCAAGAAAAACTGGATTGGGTAGTGAAAAGGTGCTGAACCCCAACAAAGCAAGATTAAAAGTAATGTAACCAGCAGCATTATGTTCACACTTCTATTTGAGTATTTTATCAGGGTTACTGCACACACTATTTTATTTGCAGATTCCATGCTGTTCTCCTGCTGCACAATTATAGCTTTCAAGCTGCTTTATGATGAGTGGCATACTGTTGAATTTTCCTATACTAACAGGTCGTAAGTCACACATAGAGCTATTAAAATCTAAAATATTTTAAATGAACAGAATCAATTATAAAGACAATGAGTTCCTTTGTTCCAATTGGATTAATTGGTTTTATTTAAAACTGAGATCATCAAATATTTTCAGGGAATGATTTCATAACAGAGATTGTCTATTGGAGAGACGAATAGAAAATTGTACGAAGACCAAATTTGGAATTGATTTTTTTTGTATCTACATGTATTTAAAATTATTGCTATTTGGAACAACTAAAGTGAAGCATCACAGTATTATAGAGTTGGAAAAGACTTTAAAGACTTTATCTAGTTGAATCCCTGTTCAGTGTAGGATCTGTTAGGAGACTTCTGACAGACTCTGAAGAATCCCAGCTAAGGAGAACTCATCACATCATGTGATAATCTGCTTGATTGACATTCAGAAGTTCCTGCTTGAAGACTAGTCTGAACTAGTCTTGTAGTTTTAATATGTTGGAACTGTTCCTGCACTCTAGTCCAAGACAGGATCAATCCATTCCATTTTCTGTGTGACCATCCTTGATATACTATATTCCAAGACTCCTGTTATTATGTTAGTATCTCTTTAATCTTTTCTGTAGGCTAAGATCCTATTCCTCTTAGACTTGACATCCAGACACCTCAGTGACAGTCCTCTGAACTCCCTCCAGAATGTCATTGGGAATACTACTACCATTCAGTAGCATACTGGGGTGAGTTCAGAGGACCATCATCAAGAGACTCAGATGTCTGGATGTCAAGTGTATGAGAAATAGTTGGCACAGACCACAAAATCTAGATGGCCTCCACTGTTTAAAAAAGCCTTAAAAGTTCTTCACTCGGGCCTTCAGCAAGGCAGAGGTCTCTTGCTTTGTCATCTTTTATCTTTATGTTTTACTAGCTCGATACCAAGTGCTTCACTACAAAACTATGTGGTTGGGCTTAGTTTTTGGAGAGGAAAATAAGGGAGGGAAATTCTGCCTCTCCCTACCAGCATCTATCAGTATTAATCTGGCTAGCGTCTTGTCAGTGTGTGAGAGAGTTGAGGCCTGTGTGGAAACTGAAACAGTATTTGGTGTGTGAGCAAGAAGGAGACAGCAAGGAGCCTGGGCGTGGCTTAGCTCACCTATTCTGTACTAAAGCTGCTTGGTGCTGTGAAACTGAAACTGAACCTCCTCTGGTTGTGTTTTGCATTTGGAACAGATTTCTTTTCAGGTGGGGAGGGGGCAGTAGAACTCCTTAGCATCAGAGCGTGTTAATAATAATATACAAAATACTAATGGTCTGATGGTCATTTCAAAAAATCCTTTCTTAGTGAGCACCTAGAAGCCAAGAGGAACATAGTGCCAAATTTCAAGTTTGTAGGCTTTATGGTTCTGGAGATTTTGTGATATATATTGTGTTAGTCATATATATCCTATAACTAACAACTATAACTATAACTAACCATTCTCAGCTATACACTTGAACTAATATTCTTCTCATTCAGCTTTCCTATTGCTGTTTTGTCTTCATTCATTTCTTTTTGGTTGCATAGGGAAATGTCAGAGGAAAAGCACCTGAGAAGGTCATATGTAAATGTATTAATTTCCTGGAATAAATAACAAGTGACTTGTTCTCTTCTCAACCAAAGGCTGAGATGCAACTGGAAGAGTAACACTTTTCAGTTCCATAAAAGGCACATTCAAAAAACAGTTACCCATTGTAATGGGTTTTTGGAAAATGCAAGTTGCAATCCAACACTTTATTTTGCCTATAACAAATTAGTGCATCATGTGGGTTTTCCATAAATTAATTTCATCTTTGTGCTCTTTTGTTGATGGCTCAGAATGAGCCTATCTTAAAACTTTTGTGCTTTGTGTTGTATAAAACACATACCACTTAAAACAACAAAAAAACAATGCTGTGTACTTGCATTAATCATTAAGACTAAGCTACAGTTATGGAAATAAATCAAAACAATGCTTTTTAAAAGATGAAACAATTGCTCCATTCTGTTGGCTGGCAAGAGCCATTCGGTTCTCAAAAGCTGCTATTGTTCTTGAAAACAAATCAATGTCTTTTCTGTATGTCTTTCATGATTATATGAATATCTTTCATCTGTACCTATCTGTAACAAGGAAACAAGGCTATCCTTCATATCTCTAGTCTTTTCCACTGTAGGCTAAACAAACCCAGGATACTCCCGAAGCTGAAGAAACAGTTGATCAAGCTAATGCAAGAAAAGTACAAACTACAAACTACAGCATGAAAAAGTAGCAAAAATGGTGCATTGCAAGATTTGCAAGAAATACCAGTTGCCTGCAAGCAAGAACTCGTGAGACCATAAAGCAGACTAAATGATAGAAAATGAAGAAGCTAAAGTGTTCTGGAACTATAGAATTCAAATAGACAAGGATCTGTATTTTGTACAGTGGTAGATTTGTCTTCTGTACACATGCAGATAGATAAACTCAACAAAACGTCCATAACAAAGTACTTTTATTGGTTCATCAGGGATCCTCATAACTCACATTTGTGATGAAGTTCTTCTTCTTCTTTTTTTTTTTTTTGAAAACAGTTTTATTAATTTTAACAACAAACAAAAACACATAAAACATAAAAACAACATCCTTTCCTTCATGAGTTTACAGACAGTGTGTCGGTTGGTTTACCACTTTTTTGTGTGCATCCATTTCATAGTCTCCATTGTAGTTATATTACATAATAGCTCATATTATCAATCAACAATTATATAGCCTGATATCATTATTAAATAATCATTCGACTATAATTTTATTAATTCATACTTTAATGAGATAACTATAGTTTACTTAATTTATTTTATAGCAAATCATAAAGTCATACCATATGTGGTGGACTTGTGAGGACGCTGGACTAAATACTGGACTAAAATTCGCATATGGTTTGAAAAAATGACAAAGAAACATATAGATTTAAAACCAGAGATTTTTTTATTGGGAATCTTACCTGATACATACAATAAAAATTTGAAATATTTGATTGTAAATGTATTAACAGCGGCTAGGATTGTATTTGCTAAAAATTGGAAGAGTGAGAAAATACCATCACAGGAAGAAATTATTCAGAAAATATTGGAATGTGCTGAAATGAGTAGATTGACATTTGAAATTAGAGAACAAGAAGATAAACAATTCTATGGAATTTGGGACCTTTTCTATCAATGGCTAGATAATAAAATATAATAATAGAATAGAACTTTAGGAAACAATGAATACATATTTCTTTTTTTTTCTTTGATATTATCTTTATAAAATTGTATTAAGATGAAGTTCTTCTTTAATGACCAATCCTTTGCATATCTGTCTTGTAGGTAAAAAGATGGTTATCTTCTATCCTTTTTCCCTCATCTTGTAGCGATAGAAGTAGAACAGTTACCACGAGTCCATGAGTTCAGCCAAGAGTAAGGAAAACTCCCCCAACCCCTCAAGGGTCAATTTAGTGATCAATCAGGATTACAGATGTGGTCATGTGATATGGACTACATTTCCAAGGATACCTTAACTACATTTACCATGATGCATTCCCTTAAGTGGACAGCTCACAATTGCTACCTAACTATCCAATTCCCAACAGTGGCTGGACAGCACACTCCCCGCCTGGAATTGTAAATTCCACTAATAAAAGAAGAAGAAAAAATTAACTATAAACTAAGATAAGCAGTAGACAGTAATACTAACTGAATAGCAGATAACTATATAACTAAGATAAACAGTTAGCTATATAACTAAGAGAAACAGTAAACATTAATAAAGCATCAAACAAAGCAAAGCATGCAAAGCTTGAAGTTCAATCTTCAAGTTCAGCCTCTTGGTGCAAGTCTGCTGGTCACCTCCGGCAGCCTTTTAGGGTATACAGGTACTCTTGGTGGCAAAGATGAAAGTCTGGTGGTTGCTTCTGGCTTAGGGAATCAATTGTTAACCAATCCATCATCAAATAAACAATTTGGTTTCAGGAAAAAAATATCATGTAATCTGCAACTCTTACACTGCAAAAACATGGACTACCCAACTTGATCAGGGCAAAACAATAGATGCAATCTACATAAACTTCTGTAAAGCCTTTGATTCAGTGGTACACGACGAACTACTCCTAAAACTAAAACCTTACAGTATCTCTGGACACCTGCATAACTGGATAGAAGCATTCCTGTCAAACAGACAACAAATGGTCAAAATTAGGGAGGGTCCTATCAAATTCTGTACCTGTCAACAGTGGTGTCCCCCAGGGCAGTGTTCTAGGACCAACTCTTTTCATACTCTACATAAATGACCTCTGTGATCATAACAAGAGCAACTGCGTTCTCTTCGCTGATGATGTAAAGCTATTCAACACCACAGACAATACTGCTACCCTTCAAAAAGATCTTGACTATGTATCCGAATGGTCAAACAAATGGCAACTTCAAATCTCGACAAATAAATGCTCTGTCCTATATATTGGCAAAAAAAAATATCAGAAAATAAAATACAGACTGAATAGTCAAGACCTTGTTGATGATCCAAACTCTGTCAAGGATATTGGACTACTCATCTCTTAATGATCTAAGTACTAGAGCCCACGGTAACTACATAGCCAAAAAGGCGTTAAGAGTTGTTAACCTAATCTTACATAGCTTTTTCTCTGGTAATATTAAACTACTAACTAGAGCATACAAAACACTTGCTAGACCAATACTCGAATACAGCTCATCAGTCTGGAACCCACATTACGTATCTGATATTAACACAGTTGAGAAGCTCCAGAAATATTTCACAAGAAGAGTTCTCCACTCCTCTACTCGTTGCAGAATACCTTATGCCACCAGACTTGAAATTCTAGACCTAGAAAACCTAGAACTATGCCACCTTTGGTCTGATCTAAGTATAGTATATAAAATCATACATTGCCATGTCCTACCTGTCAATGAATACTTCAGCTTCAACCATAACAATACAAGAGCAAACAATAGATACAAGCTTAATTTGTTAATTGCACCAAACTTGATTGCAGGAAATACGACTTCAGCAACAAAGTGGTCAATGTCTGGAATACTCTACCTGATTCTGTGGTTTCTTCCCCAAACCCCAAAAACTTTAACCTTAGACTGTCTACTATTGACCTCACCCCTTTCCTAAGAGGTCTGTAGGGGGCATGCATAAGCACTCCAATGTGCCTACCGTCCCTGTCCTATTGTTTCTTTTATTTTTTTATTTTTCTTATATGTATCCATGTATTCATAACTATGTTTTTACTTATACCTATTATCTTGTAAGCAATTGTCAAAAATAAATAAATAAATAAAAAATCTGCAACATAACACCAGAGGTGGTATTTGCCAGTTCTCCAAATTACTCAAAACTTCCTCTACCAGTTCTCCAGAACCTGCTGAATGCCACCTCTGGTCCATACTACTTTTAGACCAGAACATTGGAATCATTCAGAATGAATCTTCCTTGGAATCTTAGCCTTAAAACTAATGGCACAAAATGTGCATCTAAATGTGGTTACTTGCAAAAACTACAACTGTAAGAAAAGATGTCAGCAAAAATGCAATTTATAGAGAAAGATGCATGTATAACATATAGGCTAAATAAAGCTCTGTGTGAAAACTATTTAAGAGAAAAGAAGAGAAGAGAAGAGAAGAGAAGAGAAGAGAAGAGAAGAGAAGAGAAGAGAAGAGAAGAGAAGAGAAGAGAAGAGAA